AAAAAAAAAAAGCAGAAAACCAAATAAAAACTTGCCATTTTTTCTGATCTTCCTTTGAGCATCAAGATGCAAAAATATAATGCATGAAAATAAATAAAAACTTGTTATTTTTGCTCTATGCAAAAAAAAGAAGGGTGCAATTTGTATGGAGCCGAGGATCTAAACAATCAAAATAGAGCTCACCTTCAAATAGTGTTGAGAAATGTGGTTTCAATACTAAAAATCTTTATGATAGCCTTAAAATATACTTTTGTCTCTAATTATAAAATTTAAAGCTTAAAAAATGGTATAGATTGAACAAATCTATTAGAATTTGAAAATCTTGAAAATTGACGGTCTAAAAATATGTTACAAGATATATTATTTCCAAAAGTTGAAATCTAGTTTTTTAATGTCTATCATCTTGATGGTGAGATGATCAATTTGAGGATATTTGAGCATCAAAACAACCTCTTCTAATAAAATTTTTGAGGTGGGCTCTAATTTGATTGTTTAGAACTTCGGCTCTATATAAACTTTTTCTAAAAAAAGCAGGGAGAGAATTGGACTTTGGGTCGCAAAGGAAGAGATATACGGAGAGAGAGAATTGGATTCTCGTAGTTACAGGGAAAGAGAGAGAATTGAGCTTTTGCATAAAAGAGAGAGAGAGAGCTGGGCTTTTAGAGGGACCGAGAGATAATTGAAATAGAGCTTTCACATGGGAAGATAAATAAGGTTTTGGAAGAGAGAGAATAAAATAGGGTTTCGAAGAGAGTGTGAAGAGAAACATAAAACTAATAAAATTAATATGGGTAGGCAACCTTCATATATTTCGGGTCCTAAAGATGGACCCGGACCCTACCAGGTCCAAATGCTGGACCATACCCAAACCTATGGTGGGTCTACCTTAGGGGTTCTGGTCGGTTGCCACCCTAGTTATGACGTTGGGACTTGACGTTTTATCACAGAACCGGATCTCTCTCAACCTGTTTATGTTTTGTTTTACTTTTCAAACACTTTTTTTTATGGTTTGTGTTGTTTTCTTTTCAAACACTTTTTTTATTGTTTATTTGAAATGTCCACATTTTTTTAATAATGTGGAGTGGTATAGGGGCCCCCTCCATATTTTAATACTTTAAAACATTTTGTCCACAAGCAAACCTTTTGCCCACGTGCTATTAGACTTGCCACGTATATCTTGACTTAAGCTCAGGTCAAATGAGCTGAGTGGGATTGAATTTAAGTAAGTGGTTTCATGCGTGTTGGATTGCATTTCTATCATATGCAGACAATAAAGGATAAAGTATTTATTTTAAAAATGTTTGTCAATAGGTGTTTCATTTTAAAACAATAAAAATTAATTGTTTAAATATTTTTTTATTAAAATTATTATTTTAAATTTTTAAAATTATTTATTTTTGCATAGTCATGATCTCTATGTTAGAGATTACATATCCTTAAAAATTAAGTCTTAAAATCCATCTCAAAAATAGATTTATTAAGAGGCCCACATTTCTACATATACAGGCTTGGCCGCATAAAAACCAGGTCCTTAAATTTATAGTGCCACTTGCTTTTTTAAGTTTCGGGGGGCTATTCTTTTAATTAATTAATTAATTATATATATATATATATATACAATCAATTTTATTGTAAAAAGACAATCAATTCCACTAAATTTCTCTCTATACTAACAACATATTCTATTTGTATTGTTTTATACAACTTATTTTAAAAGTCAAAATTCTTAAGTTAATACAAAAATAAAAAATATATTGAGTTAGAGATAATCATTTATTGTCATGAATTGCATTTTAAATTTCATTTTGATTATAAAATAAACTTAATAGACAACAAACACTCAACATAAGACAAATTATCAGTATTTAGTTAAATATAATAATGAACAACTAACATAATTTCTACTATTTTTTTAGAAACCTAAAAAATTAGATTTTTAAAAAATTATAGTGATTTCTTTAAAATCTTTTTGTGATTGAGATCGACCGATTCTCTGATCCATATCACCGACCCAACGATTCAACATGAATTTTAGGTGGCGGATCTAGGTCTATCAATTCGTTTTTTAAACCTTGAATAGAACCATTTACTCTTTGGGGGACCATTTCATATAAAATAAAGTGATTAGAATGTCTTTATTCACCGAGCTTAAAGTTTAAAAAAAATTTATTTGAAATTAGTGACTCATTTCAAGTCTTTGTTGGCAATAAAAAGTAAAAAAAAAACAGGAAAAAAAAAAAAACGATATTTGAAGGACGTGTTCCTTTTCAACATGATAAGCGCCAAAGATCTCGCGTGGCGTCCTTATCTATGCGCTTTTACAGTTGACACCGAATAAGATAAAGAATATCCAAATTCGAAAAATGAATAATTCGAATAAGATAAGAATATCCAAATTCCAAAAATAGAATAATCAGAAAAGAACGGACCAGATCTCGACCTTTTGTTTCACGTATAAAATCGACGGCCAGAAGAGTTCATGTGGCGTTGAGTCAAAAGCACGCCAATGATAGGACTAGATTGGAAATGTCGTTTTCCTTTTTCTCATTTTTTTTATTCTTATTTTTTTTCAGTTTTTTATTGGGATAAATGTCCCTCTTTTCCTGAAAACGGGGAGGCCCGCATCTCTCTCTAAACAATGTGATTTCTTTCTCCCTCTCTAAACCTCGCTTGTCAAAGTCTCTTCCTCTCTCATTTTCTTCTCTCCAGATTTTCTCTAACAGGTAGCAGCAGAGAGCAGTCGATATTTTTCATTCTACAAATCTCTCTCTTTCTCTCTTACTTATAACAATCTGCTTTGAATTTGAAATTACTGCACTCCATTTTTGCTCTCTTACTTATAACAATCTGCTTTTAATTTGAAATTAATGCACTCTATTTTTGCTGTTTTATTGGTGAAAGTTCATACATTTTATTGCTGACGATCTCTCTCTACCAGTCTCTCTTTACAATCTTCTGTCAATTTGCAAGTATCCGTCTCTGTCTTGGCTTTTGACTGTGTTTTATTGGTGACAGTTTCTGTGGCTTTCTGCGATTTCGCCAAGGTAATCTCTCTCTCTATTCCTTTCTATGATCTTGGAATTTGCGTCTCTCTATTATATATGTTTGATATGTTTTTCTTAGTCTTACGTTTTCTCCTCTTTCTCCTCTTTCTCCTCCTCCTCTCTCATCTCATCTCATCTCGACTCTCTTGTGCATCTTTCTTTTGTTTGACATTTCTCTAACTCCTAGTTTTAATCGGATTATCAAAAGAAGTAAGTTTTTATGAAATTTATATGTATCATCAATTGTTTCATGGATTACTGATGGGGAAATATTCGACTGTGATTTCTAATGTTTGTGGATTGTTTGATTATATAGTTTTTTATTTTTTTTGGGTAAATTGATTATAGAGTTCAGCAATAATCTGAATCAGTTCTGTCAAAAAAATTTAATTTTCATGAAATTTCAAATTTAATGGATTACTTATGAGAAATTGTTTGTGGACTTGTTTTGATAGTAGTGTTTTGCATTAATCTTTTAGCTACTTTGGATGGCTTTAATAAGAATATTGTTTCTAAAATCAGTGTAAAATGTAATTGATGATATTTTTTTTTTTGGGTAATTCAGTGGGGAAGACAGGCCCTACCCATTTTTCAAGTAGATTTTTTGAAGGTACTAGTGGGGTGGTGTTAGTGGTGGGAATGGAAACTACCATGGGGACCCCATAATGGATAGTTGTAATTGATGATATTCCAATAGCTGAATGCACATTTCTATTGTTCATGGATTATCCTTTTTTTGCCTTAAGTTTCTGCATTTTATAGTGATGTATGTCCGTAAATTCTTAAACTACATATCCATGCTCTTCTTTACTTGCCATTTGATAGTCATCAGCTCGGTCATGATTTCTATCATTATTTTCTCTGAAACCCAAACCATAAAAATAGAAAAAAACAAAGTGTCCAAATTATTTCGTTGGGAATAATTTTCTTCCTTTTCTTCGTATTCA